ACTAGTCAATCCGATTCCAACCAGACACAGGTGAGGTCTTATATCAAGACCTACCTAGTGGCGATAAAAGCGGCAAAATCTAACCATTTTCCCGCTCTTATCGCATCTGCAGAGAACCGCCCAGCCGCCCTGTTTAGGGTGACCCACTCCCTTCTTCGGGGGGGGGGGAGTGCGGGAAGATCCCTTGCAGGGTCGTGCTGAGGATTTTGTGAATTCCTGCATGATAAAGTCACCGGATTTGGGATGGTTTGGACTCCGATTGTATGAGTCCAGGGGAGGAGACGAGGGTAGGTCTTGAGAATGTTATCTGGGAGGAGTTTGATCCTGTGGCTCCTGAGGATGTGGACAGGGTTCTGGGTAAGATTAGTGCCGCCACGTGTTTATTGGACCCGTGTCCCTCCTGGTTGGTACTGGCCTCCCGGGAGGTTACACAAGGCTGGCTCCAGGGAATTATAAGTGCTTCTCTGAGTGAGGGTGCCTTTCCTGCCGCCTTGAAAGAGGCGGTAGTGAGGCCCCTCCTCAAGAAGCCTTCCCTGGACCTGGCTGAGTTAGCCAACTACCATCCGGTCTCCAACCTTCATTTTGTGGCGAAGGTTGTTGAGAGTGTGGTGGCACGACAGCTTCCCCGACACCTGGATGAAGCTATCTATCTGGACCCGTACCAGTCGGGCTTCAGGCAGGGGTACAGCACAGAAACAGCATTGGTCGCATTGGTGGATGATCTCTGGAGGGCTCGGGACAGGGGTTGCTCCTCTGTCCTGGTCCTATTAGATCTCTCAGCGGTTTTTGATACCATCGACCATGGTATCATGCTGCAGCGGTTGAGGGGGTTAGGAATAGGGGGCACCGTCCTGTGGTGGTCCTCCTCCTTCCTCTCCGACCGCTCAGTTTGTGTTGGCAGGGGGGCAGAGGTCGATCTCGAGGCGCCTCACATGGGGAGTGCCGCAAGGGTCAGTCCTCTCGCCCCTTCTGTTCAACATTTATGTGAAGCTGCTGGGTGAGATCATCCGTGGTTTTGGGGTGAAGTGTCATCTGTACGCTGATGATACTCAGCTGTACATCTCCACCCCAGACCACCCCAACGATGCCCTTGATGTGATGTCTCGCTGCCTGGAGGCCGTGCGGGTCTGGATGGCGAGGAACAGGCTCAGACTCAACCCTTCCAAGACCGAGTGGCTGTGGCTCCCGGCGTCCCGATATAGTCAGCAGGTGCCATCACTGACTATTGGGGGTGAATCTTTGCCCCCCACAGAGAGGGTGCCCTCCTGGATGCATGGCTGTCTTTAGAAGAGCATATGACGGCCGTGGCCAGGGGGGCCTTTTATCAGGTTCGCCTGATTCGCCAGTTGCAACCCTTTCTGGACCGGGACGCCTTGCGCACGGTCACTCACACCCTTGTTACCTCCCGGCTGGACTATTGTAATGCTCTCTACATGGGGCTCTCCTTGAAGAGCACTCGGAGGCTCCAACTGGTCCAGAATGCGGCCGCTCGGGTGGTTATGGGCGCAACCTGTTGTGCCCACGTGACACCCCTCCTGCGCGAGCTGGACTGGCTCCCAGTGGTCGGGTGCGATTCAAGGTGTTGGTCACCACCTTTAAAGTGCTCCATGGCATAGGACCCAGGTACCTTCGAGTCCAACTTCTGCCACCAATAGCCTCCCACCGGCCAGTCTGCTCCTACAGAGAGGGTCTCCTCAGGGTGCCATTGGCCAAGTTATGTCGGCTGGTGACACCCAGGGGGAGGGCCTTCTCTGTGGGAGCCCCAGCCCTGTGGAATGAACTGCCCCCAGAAATGTGTAAGATCTCCGACCTCCGGGTATTTCGCTGCGCACTCAAAACCCTGTTGTTCCGCCAGGCCAGGCTAGCAACATAACAATTTTAAATTGGGTGTTTTAAATTTCTGGAGTTTTAATTGAGCCGAATTTATTGAATAATTTTAAATAATTTTAATTGATGTTTGTCTTGTGTTTTTAAATAGGCTGTACACCGCCCTGAGTCCTTCGGGAGAAGGGCGGTATAGAAATAAAATTATTCTTATTCTTAAAACCATGTGAGGTTGGGCCTAATGGTTTCCAAAAGAATTCTCTCAAGCTTTCCATGTTCCAGTGGCTATATTCCATGACAGAATCAATGATCCTCTTACGCTCTTTTTTTTTTGTCCACTTAAAGCTTGTCTTGATGGTTCCTTTAAATCTTTCATTTAAAGTTTCTTTTAAAATATTTTCTGGGGTCAAATTCAGCGATCACTACAGGTAGTCCTCGATTTACGACCAAATTAATCCCAAAATTTCCGTTGCTAAACAAGTATTTATTGAGTTTTGCCCCATTTTATGACCTCTCTTGCCACAGTTGTTAAGTGATTCACTGTACGTGTTCAGTTAGTGACATGGTTGAGTGAATCAGGCTTCCCCAATGACTTTGCTTGACAGGTCACAAAAGGTCATGATCCCAGGACACTGCAACCTACATAAATACGAGTCAGTTGCCAAGCACCTGAATTTTGATTATGTGACCACGGGGAGGCTGCAATTGTTGTGTGAAAAACAGTCAGAAGTCAATTTTTTCAGTGCTATTGTTATTTCGAACGGTCACTAAATAAACTGTTGTTAAGTCAAGGATTACCTGAATTCATTCTGCAGTCTAACTCAATGACTAAATTTCTTCTTTTTCCTGTGGTAAGATGGGCAGCCAATAAATTTGATAAATAAATAAAAATAAATTACTTGATACTTTCAGTATTCCATCTTGCCTATGTGCATAAGCTGTTCCCCATATATTTCCAGTCTGCTGCTCCATTTTGCTAATCAGGGATTCCAATAGGTGTAGTAGAACCTGCACAGCTATCTGAAATAAAGTATCTATTTATATTTCACATTTCTAAAATGCCCATTTTCCTCAGAGGAGCTTATTTTTGATAAAATCTTGCAGGATCAGAGAATTGCTCCCGGGCAACCTTTTGGAAACTACTTCATCATATTCTATTTTAAGAAAAATAGAATTAATGATGACGGCCTTAACTATACGCTCCTTAGGCACATATTTCAATGAAGCTACATACAGTCATGGCCGTAAATGTTGGCACCCCTGAAATTTTTCCAGAAAATGAAGTATTTCTCCCAGAAAAGTATTGCAGTAACACATGTTTTGCTATACACGTTTATTCCCTTTGTGTGTATTGGAACAAAACCAAAAAAGGGAGGAAAAAAAGAAATTGGACATAATGTCACACAAAACTCCAAAAATGGGCTGGACAAAATCATTGGCACCCTTTCAAAATTGTGGATAAATAAGATTGTTTCAAGCATGTGATGCTCCTTTAAACTCACTTGGGGCAAGTAACAGGTGTGGGCAATATAAAACTCACACCTGAAAGTGAGTTTTAAAATAAAACTAAGAATAAAAAGAATAAAAAGGAGAGAAGTTCACTTAGTCTTTGCATTGTGTGTCTGTGTGTGCCACACTAAGCATGGACAACAGAAAGGACAAGAGAACTGAGGACTTGAAAACCAAAATTGTGGAAAAATATCACCAGTCTCAAGGTTAAAAGTCTATCTCCAGAGATCTAGATTTGCCTTTCTCCACAGTGCACAACATTTTCAAGAAGTTTGCAACCTATGGCACTCTAGCTAATCTTCCTGGGCGTGGACGGAAGAGAAAAATTGATGAAAGATGCCAATGCAGGATAGTCCGGATGGTGGATAAGCAACCCCAAACAAGTTCCAAAGCAATTCAAGCTGTCCTGCAGGCTCAGGGAGCATCAGTGTCAGCGTGAACTATCCGTCGACATTTAAATGAAATGAAACGCTATGGCAGGAGACCCACTGCTGACAGAGACATAAAAAAGCAAGACTACAGTTTTCCAACATGTACTTGAGTAAGCCAAAATCCTTCTGGGTCTTGTGGACAGATGAGACCAAGATAAGAGCCTTTTGGTAAAGCACATCATTCTACTTTTTACCGCAAACGGAATGAGGCCTACAAAGAAAAGAACACAGTACCTACAGTGAAATATGGTGGAGGTTCACTGATGTTTTAGGGTTGTTTTGCTGCCTCTGGCACAGGGTGCCTTGAATGTGTGCAAGGCATCATGAAATCTGAGGATTACCAACGGATTTTGGGTCGCGTTGTAGAGCCCAGTGTCAGAAAGCTGGGTTTGCGTCGGAGATCTTGGATCTTCCAGCAGGACAATGACCCCAAACATACATCAAAAAGCACCCAGAAATGGATGGCAACAAAGCGCTGGAGAGTTCTGAAGTGGCCAGCAATGAGTCCAGATCTCAATCTCATTGAACACCTGTGGAGAGATCTTAAAATTGCTGTTGGGAAGAGGCGCCCTTCCAATAAGAGAGACCTGGAGCAGTTTGCAAAGGAAGAGTGGTCCAAAATTCCGGGTGAGAGGTGTAAGAAGCTTATTGATGGTTATCGGAAGCGACTGATTTGAGTTACTTATTCCAAAGGGTGTGCAACCAAATATTAAGTAAAGGGTGCCAATGATTTTGTCTAGCCCATTTTTGGAGTTTTGTGAGACATTATGTCCAATTTGCTTTTTTTCCTCCCTTTTTTGGTTTTGTTCCAATACACACAAAGGGAATGGGCATTGGTCTTACCTTAAATGCCAGATTTCTTGAGTGGGGTGACATTGTCCAGATGAGGGTTGTATCAGTCGGATCTGATGCTGGCTGAGTCATAATTTTTGACCACTCCCCTTGCTCCGCCCCTTTCATGCTCAGTTTTGACGAAGGAAGGCCACCAGAAGTATCTCCAACAGGAACCACCGTTATCAGGAGGAAGTAAATCGGTCCAACGGGACAACTGGAAAAAAACTACTGAACAAGAACAATAAACTGTACAGGCACTGAGACAGAGGGAGGGGCTGGACAATGTCACCCCACTCAAGAAATCTGGCATTTAAGGTAAGACCAATGCCCAATTTCCTTGATGAGGGTGTGACATTGTCCAGATGAGGGACATACCAAAGATTTGGCTGTCTCAAGGGCGGGATGTCGAAGGGCCTGGAGAGACCCTCGCACGATGCACCTGCTGCAAAACCCTCCTGCCAAATGACGCTTCAGCAGAAGCAAAAGTATCTATCTTGTAATGACGAATAAATGGCGAGGGGGTAGACCAGGTGGCTGCCCTACATACCTCCTCAAGGGAGGCCTGAGTCGCCCAAGCTGCTGAGGTAGCAGCACTCCTAGTGGAGTGGGCAGTAATGCTATTGGGAACAGGAATCGCCTGGGCCTGATATGCCGAGGCGATGCAAGCCCTGATCCATCTACCAATTGTGGCAGAAGAGACTTTGAGCCCTAGGGAGCCTGGCAAAAAGGAAACAAACAAAGCCTCTGACTTCCTGAAGGGAGCAATCCTTTTGATATAAATCTTTAGGGCCCTCCGTACATCTAAGGTATGCCACCTTCGTTCCAAGGCATGAGAGGGCCGGGGACAGAAATTGGGCAAAATAACCTCTTGGGCCCTGTGAAAGGGGGAATTAACCTTGGGAATAAAGGAAGGGTCCAATCTCAAAATAACTGTGTCCGGCCGGAAAACACAGAGATCCTCCCTAACTGAGAGGGCTGCCAGCTCCGAAATGCGACGGGCTGAAGTTATGGCTATAAGGAAAACCACCTTAAGGGTGAGAAAGCGAAGGTGAACCGTGCGGAGGGGTTCAAAGGGAGTCTCAGTTAAAGCGTTAAGGACCTTGGGCAAATCCCAAGTAGGGTATCTATGAATCGAGGAGGGCCGCAAGAGCCTGGCTCCTCGCAGGAACTTTTTTATCACAGGGTGCTGAGTGAGTGGTCGGCCGGATGGACTGGACAAGGCCGTAGACAAAGCCGCCACATGTCTCCGAAGGGTACTATGGGCCAGACCACGGTCAAACCCATCTCTGAGGAACTCCAAGATCTGGGCAGGTGAGGCTGAAACAGGATCTATCTGCCGGGAACGGCACCACCTATAAAAGGCGAGCCAGGAGATATTGTAGAGTCTGACTGTGGATTTACGTCTGCAGGCTTGAACAATGTGAATCACCCTATCTGAATAATTGTCCTGCCTTAGACGGGCCCCTTCAAGCGCCATGCAGTCAGTTGGAGCCACTGAGGGTCCGGATGAAGAAGGTTCCCCTGACGCAGTACAATCTCGTCTGGTGGAATCCTCCAAGGGTGAAATGTGGAGAGACTGACCAGGTCTGCAAACCACGGACGGCGTGGCCAGTGGGGAGCCACGAGGATAATTTCTGCTCTGTCGGCGATGACCTTCCGAATCAGGGCCGGAATCAGAGGCAGCGGCGGAAAAGCGTAGTGAAGACCTGGCGGCCAGGTGAGACGGAGAGCGTTGACCCCTTCCGCCCCTGGCGTCGGGAACCTCGAGAAGAAGCGAGGAAGCTGATTGTTCAGGTGTGTGGCGAAGAGATCTATGGCTGGGATGCCGAACCTGTTGCAAATCTGATGAAATATGTCGGGATGAATCTGCCACTCGCTGTTGTCCACCTCTGTCCTGCTCAGGAAATCCGCCTGTGTGTTTTCCGACCCCGCAATGTGGTCCGCTCTGATGGAGAGGAGGTGTTGTTCTGCCCACTTGCCCAGGCGAAATGATTCCTCCATGAGGCGCTTTGAGTGGGTGCCCCCTTGACGGTTGACATGTGCCTTCGCCGCCATATTGTCTGTCAACACCAGAACATGACGGTGTTGCACAAACCGGTGAAAGTGCGTGAGAGCGAGACGAATGGCCTTCAGCTCCAGCCAGTTGATAGGGTTGGCGAGGTCTGATGCAGACCAACGGCCCTGAGCCACGTGTGATGCAAGATGAGCCCCCCATCCGTGAAGGCTGGCATCTGTAGTGAGTACAAGTCGGTCGTGATTCATGAAGAGACACCCCTTGTCGAGAGAAGGCGATGTCCACCAACCTAGCGATTGCCTGACTGAGAGTGGAACTTTGACTGTTGACATGGTGTGAGCTTGGCGTTTCTTTTGAAAAGGAAGCAGGAACCACTGCAAGTGGCGAGCGTGAAGGTGTGCCCATGGGACGATCTGGACGCAGGAGACCATCTTGCCTAAGAGCTTGGATAGAGTGGCCAATGGAACTGATGGAGTTCTGCGAATGAGAGCTACTAGGTCCCTGATGTCTGACCGTCGTTCCAAGGTTAGGTAGACAGTCCCCTGGGCTGCGTCTATGATGGCGCCAAGATGGGTGATCCTGGTGACTGGCACTAACTGACTTTTTTTTTGTAGTTGACCAAGAACCCATGGTCGTTCAGGGTTTGAATCGTGAGGTGTAGGTCGTGTAAGGCTTGCTCTTGAGAGTGAGCCTGAATCAGAATATCGTCCAGGTAAGCCTGGATCCTTACCGGTTGTTGTCTCAGGTGAGCCGCCACCACCGCCAGGACCTTTGTGAAGACCCTTGGTGCAGATGCCAGTCCGAAGGGAAGAGCCCGGTATTGAAAATGCTTTCCTGCATAGCTGAATCGGAGATACTGTCGATGCTTTGGCAGGATGGGAATGTGAAGATAAGCCTCCATGAGGTCTATGGAAACTAGAAAATCGTTGGGACGAATCCCTTGAAGAATAGAGGTTAGTGAACACATTTTGAATCTGCGATACACTATGTATGAGTTGAGATTTTTTAAGTCCAGAATGGCTCTCCACCCCCCTGACCGCTTTGGAACTACGAACAGGATGGAATAATACCCCTGTTTCCATTGATCGTGGGGGACCTCCTCTATGGCGTGAATCTGTAGTAGGTGCTGAACTGCTTGGTTCATTAATTGACATCTGGATTCGCTTTTGGAAGTTGGACATTGAAGAAAGCGGGTTGGAGGCCTGGAGAGAAATTCCAGGGGGAGGCCGAATTTCACAACTGAAAGAACCCAAAGGTCTGAAGATGACCTTTCCCACCTGTCCGCAAAGAGGGACAGGCGACCCCCTACTGGAGGATTTGGTAGTGAGTCACTTACGACTGCGGGACTGGCGGAAACCAGAACCCCGAAAGGACCGTTTGGGCTGGAATTGTCTGCTCCTGTCCCGAAAATATTGACGGTCCGAGGATTGATAGGATCCCTGAAGATATTCCTGCCTGGAGGGGCCTCCCTGGGGGTAGGAACGAAAGGAAGGCCTTCTGTAATATGGAGAGGGTCTTCCTTCAGCCCGTTTGTATGTTGAGGGCAAAATTTTTCGCTTATCCCGTGTCTCTACAAGAAGGGGTTCAAGTGATTCCCCAAATAGTTTGTTTGCAGAATATGGAGCTGCAGCCAAGCGCCATTTGGCCTTAAGGTCAGCAGGCCATTGGCGAAGCCAGAGCATCCTCCGGGCTGAAACTGTAGAGGCTAAGGCTCTGGATGCAAATTTGGCTGAATTCAAGGTTGCATCAGCCGAAAATTGAGTGGCAGCAATGATTTTATTAATATCCTGATGAAGGCGAACCTCACTGGGGGGTACCCTTGCCTGTAACTGTTGAAGCCAAAGGATGGTAGTTCTATTAAAAAATGAGGCTGATGAAGCTGATTGAATTGCCCATGCCGAGGCCTGATGGTTCTTTTTAAACAGAAATTCTAACTTTTTGTCTTCTGGCCTTAGACCTTCAGAAGTATCCCCAGTTACGTATGAAGAAGAAGAGGAAAGGGCCGCTACAGGGCTGTCTACAGGTGGAACTTGCAAGAGTTGAGCAAACTTTGGAGCAACAGCATAATATTTCTTATCTGAACCATGTGCAGATGCCATGGTTGCAGGCCCAGCCCACTGTTTCTTTACCACGTCTATGAACAGTTGTGGAGTTGGTACATAACAAAGTTCAGGGGGGGGTTCAGAAAAAGGTCCCTGTAGTCCACCCTTTTGAGCCTCCTGCATCTCTTGAAAATATTCATCTTCCTTTAAGGCGGCTGTTAAGCGAGCCTTATGCAATAAAGACTTGAATTTATTGGGGGGAAATAATCCTGTAAAGGCAGGTTGATCTTGGATTATCCCCTCATCATCTGATAGGTCAGAATGTCTCTCTTCCTCAAACACAAAGGCTTCACTAACTCTGGAGGCTGCAGGAGAATGAGAGCCAGTAAGACTGACTGCAGGAGAAATTCTAATACGGGCAGATCGCTCTGAAATAGCAGAGCCAGAGTGGTGACCATGAATATTGGCTGCCATTCTAGAAGCAATGGCCTGTTCAATCAGAATTCTCAATCCTTCTGGCACATTTTTTAAAGGATCTTCGGGGGTTAGCACAGGCATAGAGGATTCACCTGTTGAAGCAGCTGCAGCTGCAGGCCCACCAAATACAGGAGTTGCAGGGGTCATTAATTGACTTGCAAAGGGGTTTTGCAAATTGCTTTGGTCTTGTTGAAGAACATTACCCTCTCCCTCCGAAGACCAGGCCTGGCTAACAGTTGAAATGGGAGGAGGGGGGGTAGATGGGGGGGGGGTCCCCTTATCAGGCTCAGTTGCAGGCACTTCACTAGCTTGCTTTTCTAGAGATTTATGCCTCTTTGTTAAATCCTTCTCCTCAGGCTTAGAAAGGTGCTTACGTTTGGAAGTTGATTTCTTCCCAGTGTACATAGTATTTTCCTCCCCATGGGAAGAGCGATCTGCCATCTTTAGTATACTCACTGCGACCACGATGTCGACTGGAGAAATAGCTTTTGGTTTCAGTTTCGCCACGTGGTTGAAATTTGAGATGGCAACGACTCTGGCGTTAAGCACGATGGCTGCCAGGTCACACTTGAGCAGGAGGAAACTCTGCTCTGGAGGTATCTGTCTAGTCAAGCCTAGAAACGGACCTCCTCAGCGCCCCCACAGCCATGAAGAGAAAAAATAAAAAATACTGGCTGGAAATGCCACAGGGAGAGGCAAGAAGAAGCTTGCTGCCCCCCCCAAACTTGCAGACTCGTTGGTGGCAAAGCGGCAAAAAACTCCTTTTAAAATTGCCGCGGCGCTTCAATTAACCGCTCTACAGCTGATCAGCGGTTTTGGGATCACTGTAGCGTGGGCGGCGGCCCGATTTGGCGATTTCCCTTAAAATTAGGGAATCGCTATTATTGTTGGTGGTATTGTGGTCTAGGGCCCCTTAAACAATCGTTGGTGGGATAGATCAAAAAAATCCCCCCCAAAAAAGACAGGAAAAAGAAAAAGGAAAAAAGTTCCCTTTTAAAATGGGGCTTTCAAAATGGCCGCCGCCAGGAGCGAAGCAAAGCCTGGCAGCTTAGGACGCTCTAGCAAGGCAAAACCGGCAGGCTACAATAGAAGGGGGGAAAAAATATATATATATATATAGCCTGGTAGACCGGTACCTTAGGAAAATTTAAAGGGGAAGTAACAATTTTAAACTAGAGAAATAAAAAGGTGGTCAAAAAGACTTACAATTCTGTGATATTGAACAGACCTGGGCTGTATAGCCAGATCTGTAGGAGATGTTTCTCTCAGGCCGACTGAGTCTAAACTGGGCATGAAAGGGGCGGAGCAAGGGGAGTGGTCAAAAATTATGACTCAGCCAGCATCAGATCCGACTGATACAACCCTCATCTGGACAATGTCACACCCTCATCAAGGAAATTAAACATGTGTATAGCAAAACATATGTTACTGCAATACTTTTCTGTGAGAAATACTTCATTTTCTGGAAAAAATTCAGGGGTGCCAACATTTACGGCCATGACTGTAAATGTTTACTTCAGTTTGCTAGTAGGGAGGGTAGATATTCTGCTTTGATAAATTATATCAGCAACCCTGTTGAAAGGATCCATTTCACTTTCTGGTCTTTCTTTACCATTATCTAAATCCATCATATCAATGTCCACCTCATGGAGGCTTGAAGCTTGTTATTGAGTAGGAATTGATTAGCTTTAGCAACTGTGTGGATAACGAAGGGAGTGAATGAAACCCTTAAGGAACTGTAAGAAACTCAGTACATCAATTTGTATTAGATTGTTAAACCAAAAATACTGTATATTAGAAATATTTGCCTGGAGCATTTAAATGTCACTTTAGTTTGCAGAACAGTGTGCATTATTAAGGATTATTTCCTGTCCATTTACCTCTGTATCCTCTGATATAGCTATAGATGGCCAGTTTGTTTTATAATTTATTTCTAGTGATGCTACCAAACACTGATTTTTAAGCCAACAAAGGTCATGCATAACACTCCTCTATTTCTTGTAGTGTATTTTCTCACCTGGTGTTATTGTGGAAACACTAAACTGTTCCACTGTTCTATAGCTTTTGTACAAAAAAATAAATCTATCTTAGGTAAAGGTAAAAGGTTCCCCTCACACATGTGCTAGTCATTCCTGACTCTAGTAAATGGTGTTGTCCAGAGAGGTAAGCAGATACATGCCTATAGTTCATCCTGGGTCCATACCTTCTTGATTGGAAATTATTCTATGAAATAATGCAAGAAGATCCATCTACTTTTGTTTGCTTCAGTGTTTAATACATAGCATTATTTGTAACGATATCAGAACTTTGTTTTCCCAAAACTTAACAGTCAAGCTGGAACATCCCTTCTTGGCTTGGGAGTTCATAGATTTGATAGCTAATCATCCAAAAATCTATTAACTTCATAACTAAGCAGTTCAGGAGGAATACAGCCTATATATGTACTTTATTCATAGTGGCAGTTATTAAAAGATTAGAATCATGGTTTCAGCTGTTAATTGGCATATTTCCCTTGAGGGAAAGAATATACCTTAATTACCATCAGACCATATCTCTTAGGTTGACCTGATCTGAGCAAGTCAAATGCATAAAGGGCCAACTATGCAGTTTTGTTGTGACTGTTGTCATGTAAAGAAGCTCATGCCCCTCTTTGCCCATCTCTTTTTTCTTTTTTTGCTAAAAACAAGTCCTTCTAAAATTTCATGCTTCAAAGAGATCATGTTCCAAAGCACTGCTCAGATTACAGAATTTAAACTGAAAATTAAAAGATAAAATTTGCAGATGAGGAACAAACCTTCATTTCCATGCTTTTTATGAAAGATTTCCCCCCCCTTGCCAATTGACTTGATATATATTTGTATCTATTTCACAATTAAACCTGTGTTTATAAACAGAGTGCTTGTCTGATAATGTACTGATTAAACAGATTGAGATATATTAGAACTTAGGAAGTATGCAGACAAGCCAGCTGAAATTAGGGGTCTCCAACCACCAGGCCTCGGACGGCCACCAATCCTCTGCCCATTGGGAACTGGGTCATGCAAGCGAGTGAAGCTTCATCCGTGCATGTACGGTATTAGGTAGTATGCAAAGCCATGTCCCTCCTGCTATGGAATTTTTTTCCCCACGGAACTGGTCCCTGGTGCCCAAAAGGTTGGGGGTTGCTGTTTTAAAGGATAGCTAATGTTCCCTGAGGGTGAGGTCAGCAAATCAAATTTCAGCAATAGCAGAATTGGACATTTCCATTTGAAGCTTAGGATAACTCCATGAACTCAAAGCCCCCAAATCTGAGGGCTCACACTGCTTCCCAGGACTGCATTACCAGCTTTCACACACTCAGCCAGCTGAGCTTCTGAAAACAAAGAAACAAGTCTCAAAATCCAGTATAACTAATGTGCTATCGTCTGCCATATCATCTTCCAATGCCAATGAAGTAAATCTGGATGCACCCAGTGGTGGGATTCAGCCAGTTCGCACCACTTCGGGAGAACCAGTTGTTTTGAGCAGTTTGGCAAACTAGTTGTTGGAAGAAATCATTAGGGCAGAGAACCGGTTGTTAAATTACTTGAATCCCACTACTGGATGCACCCCATATATGTTGATTTTAATTTCCAGACCTCTTAGCAATGCCTAGTGGCAGGGACTGACCAAAGAAGGCAGTAATAGCCCATCTTCCTTGCCACGATATGGTCTATGTAGAAAGAAAAACTACTTACTATTACTCACATGGCCAATATCAATCTATCTATCTATCTATCTATCTATCTATCTATCTATCTATCTATCTATCTATCTATCATCTATCTATCTATCTATCTATCTATCTATCTATCTATCTATCTATCTACACACACACACACACATATAAAAACCCTCTTAAAAATATCAAAAGACAAAAACAACTTAATAGGCATCAATCAAAGTAGAAGGGGATTTAATATATGAGATAGCCTTAAGAGAAATGGAGCAGTTCATACACTGAGAAACCAAGAAACAATCAACAGGAAAGTACACACATTTAGGGATATCCAATCTGGGCTGCAAAATTCCACAAGCATTTTTGGTTTCTCTTTGCAGCCATGTCCCAGAAATGCTTTTTCAAATGGCAACTAGACTTCTTTTGTTTTTCCTTGAAGTTGTTTTCCTTCTCATTCAAGAAGCTTCTTCAGTTCTTGGATGAGAAGCAAAATGTCTTCAAGGAGAAACAAAGAAAGTCCAGTTGTCTTTTAAAAAAGCACTTTTGGGACACCCATGACCAGGATGTTTCTTATCTCAACATTGGTTCCTTTTAACCAGCTGTCCACGGTATCTCACCTGCATTCACTTTGAGCCAATGAACAGCTTTTCCTTCCAGCAGCTCCCACTCATCTTTCTGCTCTGCAGCATTCAAATGAAGCCAGAGAATAGCCAGCACTGTTACCCATATATCTGGGGTCACCTGAAAGCAATGGTGAGAAAAAGACACGGAATGAGCCTTACATATTATTCCTAAACAGGTATGCATAATGTTTGGCCAAATGATATTTAATAACTATTTAATAGCTAAATATTATTGTAAATGCACTCTGTTGCGCAAAATATAGAACAGTATGAAGAAGCCAATGGATACCACATTTTCCATTGATAATAGTTAAATTCCATATTTTCCATTGAATGATGGTCAATGCTATCTCCTCTCCAGCACTGTTTTTTCGCAGTGCTTTGACTCCTGTTCCATTTTATGTCCTACCATAAGAAATCTTTGATTGATAATCTTGAATGCTCTATATCAGGGGTGTCAAACTCGATTTCATTGAGGGTTGTGTTTGACCTTGGAGGGCCGGGGATGGGCGTGGCCATGGTGAGGATGGCCAGCTCGACATCACTCGTGTTGGGGGCACCTGTGGTGGCCAAGTGCTAAGGCAGGACTTCCCTGAGACTCCTTCACTCTCATTATAATCTTCCTATCTTCCTTCCTTCCCTTTTTCCTTCTCTCTTCATTTTCCTTTTTTCTTCCTTCCCCTCTTTCCTTATTTTTTTCTTCCTTTTTCTCTTACCATCTTTCTTTCTTTTTCTTTGTCTTTCCTTTCCCTTTTATTTTGTTTTTAGTTTTGATAGCCCACTGTCAGCAAAAACAGAGCCCGGGGGGCCCACATGCGGTCCCCCATGCCCTGTTTTTGGGCGCGATTGCCTCCTGCAGCCACCCAGCTCAGTTTTTGCTGGCATAGGGCTGCAGGAGGCCAGTCCTTTGCTATTTCCAGGCTGGGTCCAGCACTCTGCAGGCCGGATCTGCCCCCCGGGCCTTGAGTTTGACATCCCTGCTCTATATTATATACGAAAACTTGAAGTTAAGATGCTAGAGGCTTTAGGGGAAGAGACTGCATAAAATGGTTCTGCCCTTCCAGTCCCCATCACGGCAAAAATCAAGATTAAATGCAGAGTAAGCATGCATTGGCTTGCCTTCCCACCTATTTTGACATGTCCCATCTTCACAAGAATGCTGTTTTACACTCTATCCATGTCATGACATTTTTAGTGACAGTTGCCTTAGTTCAGATTTTGTAATTTAATGTCTTCCAGATCTTTTTGATCACAGTGCATCCGGAGGGTTCTAGGGTGCATAATCTAACCCTAATCTTATATTCCATTCCTCCAAACAATATAGCCTTTTCTAATCATAAAAAGCATTCTTGCAAACAAATGAATCCCACATGCAGTAAATCCCATAAGATCTCCACAGACTTACATGGGCTGGTGCTTTGCCTGAGATCTCAGCCTCATTCAGGTCTAGTATGGCAGCTAGGGCAGGCCCATGAGGCCAGGAGCCATCTGCATTTTGCAGGGATACCAACTTCAAAAGAGGAGATTCTTCCTCTTGAAATTCGCAAGCTATAAAAAAAGATCTTGAACTATAAAAAAAAAATCTCAATACCACAGCACATTGAGAACCCATCAAGGTTTATACAGTATTTACCTTCAATTTCCTCTTGGCTGATTTCTTCAAACCGAACTTGGTATTTACCCCTCTTCCTGAACTGAGCAATTCTAGCTCAAAATACAGAGGCAAAACTCACAGCTTCGGAGGTAAATGTACTTTTGACACAACCTTGGGAGTGTTCATCTTTTTAGGCCTAAGAACCACATTTATCCAAAATATATTCTAAACCCATTTAACTTTATCATGATAGCTTAGTCAAGTGAAGCAATGTCTAAACAAATTTATCTGATAAACGGAAGAACTTTCAGTGGGTATGAGCATAAATATTTACTTAAAAAAAAGTAATATTACTCTAGACTACCTGTGACTGAAACGTTACATTTCTAGTTTATTAATCTGAGTTTTGGAACCTTGGAATAAGATACTTTCTGTGATATTTGGTTACTAACATGGAACTTTGAAAAGATTTAAAAATATGATTTTGAGGAGCAAATTTCTAGATTTCACAGTTATCTGGTACATTTTTTTTTTTTAATTTGATTTATATGCCGCCCTTCTCCGGAGACTCAGGGCGGCTTACAATGTGTTGAGCAATAGCCTTCATACTTTTGTATATTTATACAAAGTCAGCTTATTGCCCCCACAAACTGGGTCCTCATTTCACCTACCTTAGAGAGGATGGAAGGCTGAGTCAACCTTGAGCCTTGGAGAGATTCGAACCAGCAGTAAATTGCAGGCAGCTGTGTTAATAACAGGGTGCGTAGACCACTGTACTATCAAGGCTCTTGATTAAACATTAAACAACCTGTTTCATCCCCTCTTCCTTGTCCACCCATTTCTTATGGGTAGTTCTTGGCTTACAACCACAATTGGGAATGGAGTTTCTGTCACTAAGCGAGGCGATAGTTAAGTGAGTCATGTTCAATTTTACAACATTTTTGTCACAATTTTTAACTGAATCACCTTCAGAGCAACTTCAGAGAAGGTATTTTGGGAGGCACAAATTGCAGGCATTCCCTACAGTTTTTCTATTGTCACAAGATCGAAAATTCTGGAATCAGAAATGGCTGCAATATAATCCAAACCAAACACACAGATACAATATCCGTTATTAGCTTTGTACAATGACTGAGAGGAATTACCTAGCTTGTACATCTGTAACTGTGGAATTGGGTTCGTAGACATGATTTTGATGACTTCTAGAGGGTCACATTCCTTCTCAAATAATTGTTCTTCATCATTATTACATGAACAATTTCTTCCTAAGGCACCTATGTCACCTTCAGAATCATCTTAGAGGGAAAAAATAAGATAAACACTCTTACAGGAGAAGCTGAAATCCTCAAGACTAATTTTTCCTTCTCTTTCTGCCCATCCATTCCTCCTTGAGCTCTGGATGGTCTAAATTTCAGCAGATATAGGGTGATTCAGGTGAGAAGTCTGAAGTTGGAATACTAGTACTAAACTCCCAAAGAATTATTGACTACCTGGATTATTACATTATATTATAAACTGATCTTAGATTTCAAAATTTATTTGAAACAACAATGGACAATCTGCATTCCTCCAAATCTTATGTTGCATTGGGGATGTCTGCAAGGAAGGGGGTAAAACAAATAAAAATGGCGGCTATAAACATGTGACTGAAGCTTCATCCTTTTCATGATGCATTTAAAAAGGGGTGGGGGCTTTGATTCTATGGCTGTGACTGCCACTTTGACTTTTTTGACCCCCTGAACACCTCTGTTGTGGCCCACAGATTCCCCCTTTTCTTAGATTTTCTGATTAAGCAAAATGAAATACACAAGTCACTGTAGAAGTACTAGAACAATAGCAAGAATCAAGGGACTAGAAAAAAAAAGTACCTACAGATTTTGTAGGTACTTATCACTGTTTATAGGTGGTAGGAAAGTTACTGCAAAACAAAATTTGTTATTTTGCTAAACTGATATGTAATGCTTAGTAATCTAGCAGCCACATTTTTGTGAACAATACTTTCCAAGTTATCTTCAAGGGTCACCCTATGTAAAATGAATTTCAGTAGGATAGCTGAGAGATGCCAGTAGAATATTTTATATGCATTATGTGTCTTATATGCATTATTTAGCTCTTCTTCCGGTGCATCACTAATCAATTATTGCAGTCCACATCTACTCTCCCCCCCAATTAAATTTGACTATTACTCAATTTTTCCCTTTCTGCTTTAAAGGAAAGTTGCAGGAATGTCTGTAGATTATGGTTAAAAAAAAGAAACTGCCTGCAAGGTGAAATTGAAAATGTTCAATGAACTATTATTTTTCTTTCAGGATTACAAGATTACTTCACCGAAGGAAAGAAGAGATGCTCTGAAGCAGTGGTGGGGAACAATGGCCCCTTTATGACTTGTGGACTTCAACTCCCATGGCTGGCTCAGGAATTCTGGGAGGTGGAAGTCCACAAGTCATAAAAAGGCCATCGTTCCCCATCCCTGCTCTAAGGCATTGTTTTTCAACTTTGGCAGCTTTAAGATATGTGGACTGCGGAACTCCCCAGATAGGAAGTTGCTGGAGTTGAAATTGACACATCTTAAAGTTGCCAAGGTTGAAAAAAAAAAAGTTAAAGTATAACTTACTCTTTATATATAATCAACCACTCTCTGAATATCAGGTTTATAGAATTTATAATTACTAACTATAAAACTTCCTGTTTCATAACCTCTATCACCCCCGTCATGATACTTTACATTTTGTTATCTGCAACTTCAGACTAAGACTTTCAGAGGAACAAATGTTAGGCATTGTCCTCAAAGTCCAATTTTGGACTCCCAACAGTTGTTTCCACCTCAATTCTGCCAGCCTCTTAAAAATAATGTTGGGGTACAACATAACCCAAAATAATATTCTACACTTTCTTATTGTATTTATTGATACGAATGAATGCATCCCATGTTGATATCCATATAGAAAATAAAGGAAGTTAATGAGAACAGCATTTCTTTGGTTTGCCCAATGACCAACCTGAATTATCTTGCTGGATGAGACTCAAACTTTCTTCTTCCATTTGAAATTGACCAAAACCTTGACTTGTACATGGTGATGGCAGTGCATTGTAGAATAATCCTGGTGACGCCCCGAAAACTGCAAACATTCCTGCGTAAAACAGAACACAGGAAAACATTTTTGCAATAGAAATTGTATTAAGCCAAGGTTAATTTTTCCTTTTCTTTGTGTCCTATTCCTCCATGAACTGTAGATGGACTAAATCAGTATTTCTCAGTCATGGCAACTGTAAAATGTGTGGGCTTGAACTAGTCAGGTGGAAATCTATGTACAGTATCTTAGAGTGGCTAAGGATGAGAAATACTAGCATAGATCCCAGCAAATGCAGTGTGAATTACAAAGCAACTTTGAGGCTAGAATATGGAAAAGTTTCCTGAGAACTACTGGAAGCCTGGATTATCTATCTTACTTCTTAGAATGTCTAGAAACCAGGGGACACGAGTTCTAGTCCCACCTAAAGCCAGTTGGATGACTTTGGGCCAATCACTCTCTTAGCCTTGGGAAGGAGGCAAATCACTTTTGAAACTTTGGGAAGAAAACGATAAGGACTTGAATAGGCAATAGTCAGGAGTCAACACTGACGCAAAGGCACAAACACACACATGTACTTCTTAGAATGACCCCAGATTGTAGTTCTTTGTAACCTGGGAAAATGAGGAATATCAGATGTATTTACATGCTTTATGTGGCTTCATTCACCATTGTCCAATTCTTGTACCAGCCATTAATCATTAAATGCAACCTCAAGTCACTAAAAAGCTGCCCTTCTCCCCACCACCCCAATGGAGATAATTTTCCCAAATTATTTGCAGCTTCTTCTTATAAGAGAATAGGGAAGCGGTGGCTCAGTGGCTAAGATGCTGAACTTGTCGATCGAAAGGTCGGCAGTTCAGTGGTTCGAATCCCTAGTGCCGCGTAAAAAGGTGAGCTCCTGTTACTTGTCCCAGCTTCTGCCAACCTAGCAGCTTGAAAGCACATAAAAAATGCAAGTAAAAAATTAAATTAAAAATTAAAGCCAGAAACTTATTTATTAGGAATACCTACAAGCAAATATGAAAAAGAAATAATATATTTAATAACACACATTTTGACTGCAGCAAGAATTATATACGCACAAAATTGGAAACAAGAAGAGGTCCCGACTCAAGAGAAATTAATATCCAAAATTATGGAATGCGCTGAGATGGATAAACTTACCAAGGAGATCCAAGGAAAAGAAGAATCTGAATATTATCTAGTCTGGCAAAAATGGTATAAATGGTTAGAGGGAAGTGGAAAAAGAAGAGAAGAAGAAAGAAAGAAAAATTGAATAAAAGAAAAGATATCAATAGAGTAAAATAAAGTTTTAAATCAAATGAAATTTAAGAAAGAGACACGAGATATCAATAAAATAATATCATTATATAAGGTGAGAGAAATATTGTATATTGAAGAATATAGGATATTGATATTGTAACAATTCAGATATTATAGGTAGATGTTATAAAGATGATGTTTGTTGTAAATTGTTTTACTTGCATTTATAAATGTATTATGTGGTTTCTTAAATTAATAAAAATTTAAAAAAAAAATGCAAGTAAAAAAATAGGGACCACCTTTGGTGGGAAGGTAACAGTGTTCTGTGCGCCTTTGGCGTTTAGTCATGCCGGCCACATGATCACAGAGACGTCTTCGGATAGCAGTGGCTTTTTGGCTTTGAAACAGAGATGAGCACCGTCCCCTAGAGTTGGGAACAACTAGCACGGGGAACCTGTGCAAGGGGAACCTTTACCTTTACTTATAAGAGAAAGTCAGAAAGATTCCTGGATATGGAGGAGGAAAGGAAAGATGGTCTAATGCAGAGGTGTCAAACTGGATTTTTTTGAGGGCTGGATTTTTCGCCCTCCATGGCCTCCTGTAGCACTCTGCCGGTTGAGAACGGGCCTCCTGAGGCTTCCGCGCAGCCATTTTTGGCCGTCAAGAGTGCTGCTGGAAGTTGCTTTTGGCCTGTTGGCCAAAAGGTACCATGGACTGGTCCTTTGATATTCCCAGGCTGGCCCCATATTGCTCCCAACAATCCGGATCCTCATTTTACCGACCTCAGAAGGATGGAAGGCTGAGTCGATCTTGAGCTGGTTAGAATCAAACTCCTGGCAGCCGGCAGTCAGCAGAAGTAGTCTGCAGTACTGCACTCTAACCACTCTGCCACCACGGCTCCTCATCTAAATTTTTGTTGCTACGCCAAGCAGTTTTTAAGTGAGTTTTGGCCCATTTGATGACATCTTTTGTCCCAGTTAAATGAATCATGCAGTCATGGGCTTCCCCCATTGATTTTGTTTATTTGAAGCTGGCTATCACAAATGGTGATCACATGATCAAGTCCAACTGTCATAAATACAGGCCAGTTGCCAAGTGCCTGAAATTTGATCGCAGGAATATGGGGATGCTGCAATGGTTGTAAATGTGAAAATATGTCACTTTTCATTGCTATTGTAACTTCAAATGCTTGTAAGTCGCTGATCACCTGTACTGTATTCATTTCTATAATATTACAATCAATAATTACTATTCAGATATTAAAAAATCCAACAGCCTGGCAGGAAGGCAGTAGAAAACTAGCAATCCAGCTAGGTCATTACAAGAATATGATATGTGGATGATAGCTGGCAATCAATAAGAGTGGATACCTGCCACTTGCTCTGCCAACTGTTGGGCAGGTAAAATCCAGGGAACAATGGGGATTTTAACTTAAGTTCCACCTGGCAAGACTATCTGGAGACGCTCAGCTGCAAATCGGACCCCCGTCTGATTCAAGACTGGGACTGATCTGCCATCTTTTGCTCCCAACTCACCTGGAAGGGGGACATCTCGGTGGAGGAGAGGTCCTTGAACTGGCTTGCCCAGCTCCATGTTCACACCCACGTAAGCTGTCTGGGAACACACCACCCCAGAGCTCAGGCTTGTCTCTAGCGCCAGGACCCGCTTTTCCTCCATCTTCTCTTCTTCTAATTCCTGCAACAGCACCTGAGCTGCCAGACGGTGAACAGGGAGCCTGCACAGAAGGTGGAGGGATGGGTAGAGAAAGGGCTGCCATTACATCAAAGTCTTAATTGATTCTCAGTTCCTTCTATATCGTGGTTTTCTGCCTAGAGGGTCAGCTGACAGTAAATACAGGAAAAAGTTAATAGTGACTAACTACTTGTTTTGCATTTTAGCTTGTGCTCTGATTGGATGGGGGTGCGTTCTGTTTAGGTGGGGGCTTGGTTGTGCTCGGGTTAGTCTGAGTTGCAGGGGGATTTGAGCTGGTGAGCTGCGTTGCTGTTGTTTGGCTTCGCATTTGTGGTCGTGCCACATCTTCATGGTGGATGTCAGTTTGCTTCATGTATGGATTGGAGGGGTTTAAAGTGGCTAATGATGCAGCTGTGGTCTGGCTTCTGGTTGTGCCTCATCGGTGTGGATTTGGGTTTGTTTTTTGCGTGGATGTGTGGTGGTGACATCCTGTGTGGTTTTCGTGAGTGTGGGTCTGGTGTCATATCTATCTATCTATCTATCTATCTATCTATCTATCTATCTATCTATCTATCATCTATCTATCTATCTATCTATCTATCTATCTATCTATCTATGCTAATTGTTTTAAGGGGAAAAAAGTTAAGCATTAATGGGTTTTTCAGGCATCTGAAACAAATATGTAGAAATGTATAAGATTAAGGCTATTAGGATTAGAAAATACATTGTAATCAATCAAAAAGGGGACAATGAAGAAAATGAAATAATATGAGAGACATGAGGTGTGTGGGGGGAGAAGTCACAGTGGAAAGCAGACCATGAAGAAACATTTGTTAAAAAGAGGATATATTTATATGTTGTATGTGATGTGTTTGTCATAATGTGTAATAATAAAACAATAAAACTTAAAATAAAATAAAATAAAATAAAATAAAATAAAGGGTTTGTTCAGATTTGGATTCTATCTCGAATGAAGGGTTCTGGGTTCTACCTGTCTGTCTTCTCAAGTTGGAATGAGAACTTCGTTGTTTCTGTCGGAGTCTCATTTTGGAAATTATACCGAACCACGGCTGTCCCCTCCATGGAGCCTGACGTCTGTATAAAAACAAAAGGAAGGAAGGGGAAAAGAAGCAATTTTTTTCCCCTGAGAATTGGGACGTTCTAGGATTAGCGCTGCGAAGGAAGGGCAACCAAGTACCCTTAGCTGAGCCAGGCATAGTCCACAGGGCGGAGGATTTCTCCGGTTGGTGGGCCTCAGGTGGATCACTTGCCTGAATTTGGCCCCGGATCTGGGCATAGATGAGGCAGCGCTGACCTTGGAAAATGAACTGAGGGCCTGACCCCACAAGTTTGGCCTCAAGGCCAGAAGGCAACTCCCAGCTCAGAGAGATCCCTGTCACTGCTGGCTGAAGGGCCTTCTTCAGACTTTGCAAAGCCTGCAGGAAACAGGAATTTTACGAAAAAGCAATATAAGATTTCAGGATCCTCTGAGAAATAAAAGACAAAATTTACTTTGAAAATGTCAAGGTTGTTACTGCTCTAGTTTTCAGCTTATGAAATGGTGTCTTAAAAAAAACAATCAAAGCTTTGGCTAAACCAGATGTTCTATTCTGCTTCACACACACCCACTCCCACACACCCATCACACACATGACTTCTGGACTTCGAGGGACCTGCCTAACAATTCACATCTCTATAGATATAGATGTAGACATCTGTATAGTTATGCAGATAGTTGCTTTAGTCTGGCAAGATCCTGTTTGTATATGACCAACAATAAAGAAACTACTCTGAAGTAAGTCCTTGTATTGCTTTTGGTTCCTGAAAGGAACTGCAGAGTTGATAATGAATTGCATGACCTTAAAAACTTTTAAATAAATAAATAAACTCAAGGCTCCTAAATGAAAGGAAAGATATAAATCAAATAAACAAACAAACAAGATTAATTATCTTATTCCAGAATGCAGGATATGGCATCGTAGATTCAATTTGAAGAAGACTGATTCTGGTTGAAAGTCAGTTTAAACTTTTTAATAATAAGAACAGTTCAATGGGAACCAGTTACTTAGAGAAGTAACCAGGCTTCCATTCATTTGATGTATTCAGATGGAGTGAAACAAATTAGGATGCTTTAATTTGGGTTTCTGCTCTTAAAAGGGCACTAGACTCAATGGCCTAAATAGTCCTTTTTATGATCCTATGAATTAAATCTTCCAACTTTAATTAATACTAAATAAAATGTTCCCCACTGAGTCGTTGTTTTAGAGATATTTCCTTAGTATACAGATACGATTTCATCCCATCTGGGGGCTTCTATGTCATAATTATCTTGTTATTAATTCTCAAATCTTCCAAATAACAAAAGACAAGTATATGTATCTACTACCCCAAAATATGTTCCTATATTTATGCTTCACGAAGAATATGCTATTCTGACCCAGCTCCTCAAACACGACAAACCCTCTGATGTGAACTCAAAAGATTCCTTTCTTAGGAATGCTGGCAGCTCCTGAAAAAAGTTTATCTTGCAGGCTAATAAGTCCCTCAGGCTGGAAGTTCTGCCACACCTATTCATCTCTGCCCCTGCCTTTTATCCCCAGAGTTAGGGTGGGGCCTCACTAGCAGTGGTGGCTCTTCCTTCCCCAGGATTGACCCATGCTTTACACTGCTCTCCCCTTTTCTGCCTTCTGAGCAGCCCTGCGTCGGGCACTGGACCCAGCTGTTCCTCCTCTTCTTCATCAACCACCTCCAGGCCTGGGGGCTATTGATTCTCCATCTGAGGGCTGACGGATGGTCCAGGCTCCCTCTGTCTGTCTCTCTCTCCCAGCTCCATTCCCTCTTCCCCCTTGGAACTCCCAGGTTGCCCTGATGCCGACCCTGACTCCCAATTAAGTAGCAGCTTAAAAGACCCTAAATCCTGTAGCTACATGCCAATGACATACAGCAGAGCTAAAACATGTGAACAGGATAAGACCTCACCCTGGCCTGCATGCGGTCTTTGCCAGTGATGAATTCAGCACTCCCTCCAGCAGCTCGAGCAATCCCTTTGACCAGAGCCGTTGAAGCTCCTTCCCCAATTCCAAAGCAGAAGCACCTGTTTTGGGGAGGGGGGGGGGAAGAAGAGGATAGAAGCTGATAGAAGCCAGAAAAATGAACATCATGAAAACAATTTCTCTTTCTTTGCTTACCTGTGGGAGCCACTATTACGCCTAACTTCAGCAATGACCTCATTTGTATTAAACACCTCTCCATCAGTGAACACAAAGATCTGTGAAAATGGAGAGCCATGAAGCCAAGCCTGACCACCAAATGATTTGGAAGCAGGTGAGAATAAATTTAATAAGAATTTATGGCTAGTTTCAAAGGATGACAGGACTATAAGACAACAAAGCTCTGTTTAATCAGAACTGATTCTCTATACAGTGGGCACCATTCTTTGTAGAATGGACTCCAGGCTGTGCACACATTGTTGTTCTATTGTGTTCATTCCATCAAATTCGCAACGCTTCCCTACTGCCTGCTTTAAATGTACTGTATTTTTTGAAGTATAAGATGCACCTTTTGCCCCCCTAAAAGGGGGTGAAAATTTAGGTGCGTCTTATACACCAAATATAGCCCCGCTCACCCACTGGCCCCCACCCGTTGGCCTCTACCTCCCAGCAATTTACCTCCTTGCAGCAAGTAGCAAGAAGAAACAGCCCATTTCAGCTTCAGCACAGCCTAATTAGCACAAGTTGATTGTCCCTTGGATTGGCCTCCCAACTCTCAGCTGTTTCAGGCTGCAGGAATTGCCATTGCCTATTGCTGTGCGGGCCTCTGCTGCTTGCTGCAAGGAGGTAAATCGTTGGGAGCAGAGTTTTTTTTCTTGTGCTAATCAGGCTATGCTGAAAATGAAAATGAAAGTAAAGTAGGCTATTTGCTGTTTGCTGCAACGAAGCAAAATTGTTGGGAGGCAGAGGCAGATTTCTTTTTCTTGTTTTCCTCACCAAAAAACGTAGATGCATTTTATAGTCCGGAGCGTCTTATACTCTGAAAAAAATAGTAATTATCTCTCTTTTGTTTTATATGTACACTACACAGTATCTTTCTCTCTTTGTTTAGTGTTCTGTCCTAAGCATTTTTTTTCTTATATACAATTTCTTGTTTCACCATTCTACCAACCATCCTTTTAATACTTGCTTTTAACATAAAACTATGTATTTCTAAGGCACTGGATAACAAAATTCTTCTCATTCATTTCCACATATTTTTTCTTTGGTCCATTTTCCATTTATTCTGCTGGGAGATTAGCCAATCTCCTAATGATATTTTTTATAGTTTATTTTGTATTTTTTTTCTGCAGTCATTCTACTTTTACTCCAGTTTTCACTTCTTTGCCATTTCCCCAAAATTCCATCTTGACATTACATAAACAATGTTTATCCCATTACCAGAATGTTTTCTTGTATTGAATTCTTCACTAAGTCTTTCAGTCATTTATTATAAATAATCAAATCTATCTTGGATTTAGAATTATTCTTTCATTTATATGTATGAGTAGGCTTATATTTAAAGCAATATGTAAAACAAACAGACTTTTTTTTTTGTAAATAGATAATTTATCAGTCACCACTCATTCATTCTTGGACTCCAATGGATCATGTAAGTTCAAACTATTGCACAATTGTTTCAAAACTCATCAGTGGTTTTCAAACAGGAAGCTTTGCTCTCAGTCTCCCGTGCCTTTATCGTTCTTTGTTTTGCATAATGCTATTTATCTTGAAAGGAAATAACATGATGAGCATATACTGTATATATAAAATATTTACAACCTATAGTAAATTCTCCTCATATTTCTGGATGTGAGCACTACTATACACTTTTATTGTAAATCTTTTTGTGGGTGTGCTTACTCTTAATTCTGCATGAAAGAGAAGATGACATTATTATAACTTTAAATACCTGTCGAGGATTTCCTTCAAGGCAGGGCTGGCTGTAAATAGCCTTCAGGGGTTCTAATATCTCTGTGCCTCCCAAGTTACAATCCAGCTCCTTCACACATTGGATAGAAGTGCTCATGGTCTCCTGGGTGTACTCCACACTCTGCCTGCAGAAGGTGCCAAAGGATGAAGCTCAGCTTTCCTCAAACTACCTTTTATAATTTATATATAGTACTCAACATATCCATAAGAATCATGTAATTCCTCTATGCCACCACAGTGCATTTATGGCCCTAGAATTCAGTACTCGAGACACAAAGGATATACCATATTTTTCGGAGTATAAAACACACTTTTTCTCTCCTAAAAGAGGCTGAAAATTTGGGTGCGTCTTATACTCAGAATGTAACCCTGTGCGGTGCCCAAAATGGCTACCTGGAACAGCTGCTGCCTTCTCTTACCTCTTCCGCGCTTTAGTCACTGGAGCTCCCTCCGAGGATCAGCTGTGCTTTTGAAGCTGTTTTTCAGCCCCAACGCGAGGGAAGTGATCTTCTGTGCTTTGCTTGCTTTTCTAATTGCTGCTCCCTCCGACAATCAACTGTGCTTTAGAAGCACAGCCCCAACCTCAAAACCAACAAGTGAACTAATGTGCTGAAACTGATGCCCCAACCAGCCCCAACCTCAAAACCAGCGAGCGAACTAATGTGCTGGGACTAGCCAGATGAATACCTAGTAGGCAGAATTCTCCCCCCCCCAAGCTATTTTCCTCCCCAAAAACTAAGGTGCATCTTATACTCCAAAAAATACAGTATGTTAAACACCAACAAGACCAAAGAGGACAATACAACACTGCATGATCTGGGGTCCAGAATGAGACCTCAAAGTCACATATAGGCTCCCCAAAGTTTTGGTTTTACTCCAAAAACCTTTTAGCACTTTCCACCCAATTATAACTTTCACTTCACTAGAAGGGGAAATAATTGAATATGTAGGGAAAATGACAAGCTGCATTTAATGTACTGTATGTAAGTTTCTTTAGATTTCAATCAAATTTAGCTTCGGTCAAAAAGATGTCAGACCCATCTTTTTGTGCTGACGTCTCCTTTTTAACTTTGTATATTTTAAAGAACAAACAAACAAACAATGCATTTGATTTTTCAGAAATCAGTAAGTAAGAGAAATAAGTAAGAACTGGAGAAGTTAAAAGATAAATGGTCTAACAAGAGGTGATTTCTAAAACTTACGGGTAGAATGATTCATAAGTAGAGCCAAAGCCATAGACGTTGAAGTAACATCCCAGAGGGAGACTCTTTAGCAAGAAAATCAGGGTTTCCTAAAATGGAGCAGAGTTAAATAAACATCGTGAGTTAAATATCTACTTTTCTTTAATTTTACAAAATCTGTTGTTTCTGGATACTGGATTAGGAGATTTAGATTTCAGGTCTCATTCTTAGGCCTCATTTTGTAACTTATTTTAGTCACTGAGTCAAGGTTTTTTTTTTAAAGAAAGGACCAGGGACATCATATTGAGCAGCTTGAAGAAAATCCTAAGCATGGAATGAAAACACTGTACTCAGCTTATAATTGTAATAGACTACAAATCACCATTCAACGTATCAATCCATCCATAAGATACCTTGGCACTCTGAATGCATGATGGTGAGCCATCATTGTTATCCATACTGGTACCCATGCTGCCAGAGCAATCTAGCAGGAAGATTAACTCTCCAACAGCACTATGATCTGGCGTGACAACTGAAATGTTGGGGTACAGGGTCAGCAGAAGGGCTGGGTCCCCCATCAGCGAACCTATATTTTTGTAGGAGGAAATATCAATAAGCATTTTCACTCAAGGCAGTGCTTTTCCAATTCTCAGTAACATTCCATTTCATGCACATGATAACTTAATGCCAAAGATGAAGAACTTGTGTTCCTTCAGACATTGCTTCGCTGAGAGGCATGCTAATGGAGAATGGAGAACTGTAGTGGAGAGGCACAGATTCTTCACCTCTGCCTTCAACTTTGCTCACCTGGGGCAGCTCCAGACTTCCCAGCCTCTAAAATGGCAATGGTTTTGTGAATATCTTCATAATATACCAGCAGTTCCACATCACGGTCAAACTGGTGTCCTTCAGCCAAGGAGACCTTTGGGAAGATAAGTAAAACCAAAATGCTTGCAGTTTGCAGTTCTAACACTGCTGTAGACTCTAGGCCAGTAATGGTGAACCTGTGACATATGTCAAAGATGACATGCCAGCATTCAAAACAGACAATTTTTTTTTCCAAAAGCATGTTCCATTCTTGTACAATTCTTAGAAGCTGCAGAAACACAGAATAGAGTATGTTCTTGCACAGCCATTAGATCCTCAAAAGTTGTGTGAACTTCAGAGCCTCTAAAAATTATTTTATTTTAGTTGTATTTCATTTTTATAGTTATTTGATATTTCTTTATGTAATACATGGCATTGCATGATTGAACTGCATTTGTTAAAAATAAATGATTGTATAAAGGATTATTTCTCTTTTGTTCTGAGCAGCTCTACCTGTGCAGTAGTGCGGTCCTCCGTCATATATTGCAGAGGATCTAGGCTGCATTTTGACTCTACACGGTTGATGCCATAGGGGGATTCCAACCTGGCACTGAGGCTGAGTGTATAGGACAGATCTTCTTTAAGCACGTGTACTATATTAACAGTCGCCTCTTCTGAACCTGCTAAAAGAGATCATGTTTGAGATTCTTCCTATAGAAAGTGGAGAGGCTTTTGTAGGGATGAGAGGGTAGCTACCTGAATCTGGGGCACCAGGACACCAGTTGAAGTAGGATAGGTTGGACCAAGACAGCTGAGGTTCAGAGCCCCATATGGCCATGATCCTCACTCTGATTTTGGATTCCAGCAGATACTTTGCTTGGACTCCAAAGCTACGCAGGGAGGGATATGGTTACTACTTGGTTACCACTGAAAAAAAACAGTGGTAAACTACGGTACTCCTGGCAAGAAAAGGAAGTGTCCATGAAGTCACAAGGAATCCTACTCAAATTGGAGAATGTGTTATCTTTCCTAGTCCCTCAGCCTGCTAAACCCAGCCTACTTTGTGAAGATGGTGTGAGAAAAAAATACTGTGTTTCCCCCAAAATAAGATCGGGTCTTATATTAATTTTTGCTCCAAATGACGCATTATGGTTTATTTTCCGGTTAGGTCTTATTTTGGGGGAAATACAGTACTAAATGCCTCCGTATGGTTGATGATCTTAACTGCGACTTATTTTTGGGGTAAGGTTTATATTACAAGCATCCTGAAAAATCATGCTAGGGTTTATTTTCCAGTTGGGTCTTATTTTCAGGGAAACAGGGTAGGAAGGGAAGAAAAGCACTTTATGTAACTATTTCTTTTTAATTTAGAAAGAAAAATAATTGGATATGGTAGCTAGAGGTCTTCGAGTTCTTGCACCTTTTTTTACTCATCTTGTCTGGTCTAGTAACTGCACATCATTTTGAGCTCTATCCATTAATAAAAATAAAGAAAATGGTAAAATTAAATGGAAAGGATCAATGGCAGCATGCCGCCTACTCAAGCTTCTTACTTCAAGCGTTTATTGTTTTAATGGCAAACAATAGCTGTGTTTGCACAATGTGATTAAAACACTGCTAGCTGTACATCTCGAAATTATGTACAGAACATGTTAATTCTTATGAAAGCATCATACATTATGCTTTTATGTCTTGTATGAATCCAGCCACAACGGTTGGTTTTTAGGATGAAACTGAGTTAATTGTCCCGGTGCCTGACACCATTGAGCAGGGAGGGCAGCGAAGGGACCCATTGGAGGCTTTCCTTTGGGGGCTCCATGCTAAACTTGGGAATATTGTTAGTTTACCTGCAGGAACATAGCGGGGGTTCAAGACAGCTGGCAGGACAAAACGGACGGCATCATCTGGTTCCACCGCTAGTGTTTGGACGTAGCGCAGTTTCAGTGTGGCTTCCCCACCAGGAGGAAGATTGCCCAGGTTGCACGTAAAAATGTCACTGGTATTTTTTTCTCTCTCAAGCAAGAAAGTCTGGCGGCCTTCACTCAGGGCATCATCGTATTCTTGCTCTGCCTTGTTGAAGAAGAGGGAGAAAGAAGCAAGAACAGGACAAAATCACAGGTAAATAATAATAACAATACAGTGTCCAACTCATAGCAAGGCTTTCTTTTTATAATTTCATTGGTTTTGCATATTAAGAAAATTAGCAGCACGTTCAGGCAAAGTCAAGATACTTTTATTTTAAAATTCTGGAATGGGAAGAAGTGCAACACATCTGTTTTGCTTTGGTACATCCATTCAACCCTTTAGAACATTTTGTATACAGGTAAGCCTTAAAAACAATAGGAAATTGTAAATAAAAGAGAGAATATTACAGAAACAATATTGAAAATCATCTTAATGAGCTTTAATAGTCAGGAAACCGTATATTCACCTTCATTTGTTAGATAGTAATAACAGTTTAGAACAGACACAATAATTCAAGGCACACTATTAAGAAATATTGAAAAGTATAAATAAGGATACATCCAACAATACATTTTAGTAGTCAAGTAAAGGTAAATATTGTATTCTCTCAGAAAGACTTAATCTCTTAAATATCTTTTAAATGGTGTTGCTGTGAGAATGACCCAGAGTATGTTGAAGATATATAGCAACAATAATGGAAAAGGAGGGAGGGAAATGCAAGGGTAAACAAAAAAGAAAGCAATATATGGATGTATGTTATTTTCTAAAACCTAAGATGGCTATGAATAAATAGTGCAATATAAGCAGCTTGGAAAGAAATGTGAAAAAAATTCAACAAAGAAAAATGAGAACAGCGATTGTAAAAGTAGTATTCACAGCCCACCTAAGATCAGACTAAAAGCATACCATTTAGCAATTGGCAGCGTTCTTTCCAAATTGAAAAAAAAATATTCACCACTTAAAAACTGCTAACTATTGTAAAAACTAAGAAAATATACTAACACCCACTAAAGAAAGAATTTGTAAACAGAAAAATTTAGACCAGCTGATTCTAAGGAGAAACAAGCAGAATTCTAGGGGTACATAATTTGGGTGCATAAATGAAATCTCTGTTGACTTCACAAAAATGACCTCTAAATCCCTAAATGTTTTATTACTTTGTACCTGTTTCTTCTCTCGGATCTGGGCCTCAATCCGTGTCCCACAGATCAAACCTTCAAAGGCATAGACTGCGGCTTCACCATCCAGAGGGAAGACAAAGGTGGCTTCCACTGGATTCTTTTCCTCATTCTGGTACTGGAGTTCTGATACTACATCAGCTACGAAACCTCGTATAATGACATCCACAGAAATGCTTTTCAAAGGCACTGGCATGTGAAAATAGTAGAAAGAGAATGGTTAATTTAAAATCTGGCCTGGCCTGGCCTAGAGCAAATGCTAAAGACACTAAGACCAAATTAATTGCAGGCACTGTATATCTCTCCCCAAACCTCAAAGCTACCAAACGATCTACAAAGCTTTATAATTATAGACTTTCACTTTTAAGTAGAATACAACTGGCTGTTTACTAACCGGTAATCACACTCAAATTACCTGGCAGATTAGAGGACGTGAGGAAGCCATATCTATCTGTAGCTGATCGCCACATATTGAGGGAATCCAACTGAGGAAGACAAAAAAATATAATCCTATTTTTAAAAAATTCTGATTAATTTATTGAAGAAGACAGAAGATGTTGGTAGTTTTCAGATGAATAATTTTCTTATAGCTTGTCTGGCTAATTTCAGATATAAATTGTTCTATTTATAACCATTCGTATTTTTCATTTGTATGATATAGCTAGAGAGCACAAAACAAACTAGAAATAAGGCAAGAAATAACCTATCACAGCATTATACCACATCTATGATCAGGTAGCTAACAAAGAATGATAGTTTACTACGATAAAACCATGGCTTACTTTTTGAACTTGTATTTATACGATTAATCAAAATAGTCTGGTTTAGTTTTGTTGAGACTTGTTTTTTGTTTAAAATATTTTAAAGAAAGTATTGTGTTTTCATTCTTGTTTACTGCCAGAATTCACTGGATGGGCAGCTATAATTTATTATTATTAAGAAAATATATTAATTTCTTAATAGGAAACAAAATAAAAAACAGGCTAGATCTTTTGAAGGATTTTAACAGGGGAAAAATAGAAGAAAGTAAATATAATATCACTGAACCACTGCAGAAGAGATATAAAGCCTACCTGTTTTGGTACAATGATTGTTGGATGGAGGTAGCACCCATTCGCATGTCTCTGTAAATATGGTTTGAAGACGGCTTGCTTATTCTTTAAAGATATGTTGCATAATAGAGTCTATCTCATCTCCAGCCCATAGCTGAGGCAACCTAACTTGTTATTTTTTCACATCCAATTCAGTATTGTTGTTTTTCTCTTCTCCTGACATGCACATTTCTGGTACTTTGGTGACAACTCTGGTGATGAAGCTAAGGGTGCTAGGATCTGCCCACTTATTTTATTTTATTTTATTTATTTGATTTATATGCCGCCCTTCTCCAGAGACCCAGGACGGCTTACAATGCGCTAAGCAATAGCCTTCATCCTTTTGTATATTTATACAAAGTCAGCTTATTGCCCCCACAAACTGGGTCCTCAATTTACCTACCTTAGAAAGGATGGAAGGCTGAGTCAACCTTGAGCCTGGGGAGATTCGAACCTGCAGTAATTGCAGGCAGCTGGTCTTAATAACAGGGTGCTTTAAACCACTGTACTACCAAGGCACTTCCCATTTATAATTTTCATCTGTTGCTGGCATGTCCCCTCATCTCTGGTCATTGCTGATTTTCCTTTATGGACTTTGACTTGGGCAGAGATCAGTCCTTAGGCAGTTGCCCATGTAATGTTAGATGGGTACTTGTAAAGTGCTGGGCACCGCACACTGGGAGAGGCTACTCACTCTCCTGCCTGATGCTTTATCTGTTAAACACTTGACAACCAAAGCATTTTTAAAAAGTGTCATATCTGTGAAAAAAAGTATCTCAATTGATATGCACAGGGAGAACTTTCTCCTGTTGGAAGTTCTCATCATCACAATATTGTTTGATCCACAGCATTTCTCCTCAGGTTGATAAGATAAAAAGTTTCACTAAGTAGCTTCCATCATTTTATCCCAGTGGATCAGGCAACTTTCACAGCACTGGTGGATCTAGGAGAACTGCTTCCTAGTTCATTCAACTCAGGGGTGGGTTTCACTTACCTTTACTACCAGTTCACTTGTTCACACGAGTGATGCAAAGAAGCTTCTGCGCATGCGCAGAGCGCATTTGTTGATGTCCAGCCGGGTGGGTGGAGCCTCCTGCTGCTGGTGCTATCGGTTTGCCCGAACTGAGGTGAACTGGTAGCAACCCACCACTGAACCAACTTAATTCCACTGTCCAAATTGCCTTTCACTCAGGGCAAAAGAAGGGTAGGATAAGTGGCTTCTTTACCGCCTTCTTGTCACTGCCTTCCTTACCACCAGAGAAGAGAATGAGAGACCCACCAACATGCCACTTTACCACCCAGTCTTTATTGATTAGTTTGCAACAATGATCTGCAGATGATGATGAATATTGTTTTTTTCTTACCTATTTTATATTCCAATTAAATGCATTCATTTAAATGTATTCAAGGTGATCAATTGAGCCTGATTGAGTAAAAATAATAGATCCCAAATTATATCCACCATAATTTGAAAGGAAAAGACGGTTAGCATATGGTTTTTCTTATTTCAGATCTATTGTAAGAATTAAAATACATGAAGGCAGACAAATTCATCATACTCAATGACTGAATCAAGACATATCAAAAATTATTTTACATGTTATTCAAGCTCAGGTAGTTTTCTCCTGCAGCTTAGTGGGATAAATCTGAGACCTTTCCAATCCTTTTTATTTTTATTTTATTACATGGATGGGGTTTTTGGCTCATTTGATAGAACTTCTGATATTTATGTGGGGGTCACTATGTCAAAAATCCTTAGAAGATTGTAACAATGCAATTTGATACAGAACACCCTTTTCCAATTAGCCTGGAATTAAGAATGTTGGACTATATATAGTACAAACCATCTTCATCAACACTGTCTGGAAATATGGACACATCTTCCCAGGCAGGGAGCAAGAAGATTTAGCATAGAGGTAATCTCTCCCCCCCCCAATTTATTGAAGGGATCTCAAGTACTAGGATAAGAAAGCTGGCAGCTGTGATTCGGAAGACAGAACACTCTTGATTCTAAGCAGAGAAGTGCAACAGGGCAATAAAAGAAATCCTGAAAGAGATGGAGAAGCAAATGTGCTTTTGGTTCTCTAAAGATTCAAAACGCGAGAGTGAAAAAGCAACAGGACACGGAATAACCTTTGCTATAAGCGAAGAAATAAAAGGTATCTTAGAAAAGGGAAGGGAAACTCACTCCTCCAACGGAGTTTGGCCTACCTACCTTCAAAGATATGAAGCTGCGGATCCCTCTACCCTGAAGCAAAAGCGAAAGTAAACTTTCCGGGGGATTTCTCCTCTATTTCCGCTTCTCACTAGAGAACGCCCCAGATTTTTCGACAAGTCAGCTCCAATCAGCGCGATCCTAACCTTGCTTGGTCCGAGAGTTGCAAGCGACGGGAACCAATGAAGCAGCCGGGAAGACCTTTTGGTCGTCTCGCTCCCTCCGTCCTTTTGGATTTGTTCCCGTTGTGCCATTTCTCCCCCCCCCCCCGCCTCCAGGGGCTTTGCAGCCTCATCAGAGGCGTCTTATTCTCTTTCTTTCCCTCTCGCTTGCAACCGATATTCTGCAACCGATATTCTGCAAATCCCATATCTGACGATTCTCCACCCTGCTACAAGGACGCCTGGATTACAGCTCCCGTAATCACTCACAGGCTTTGCTTGCTGTCAGGATTTGGAAGCACGTGAAGGCCAAAACCCACCACCTTATTTACCCACAGATTCAGTTTTTCTCAACCAGTGGGTCCTGTAACTCACTTTTGTTCAGCGAGGCACTGCGGAGCAGGAAGGGAAGATAAATCTCCCTCTCCTCGCTTTCCGCTTGCATGAATTGGATTTTTCAGAACTTCGTAGCTGTGCAATAATCTGATAATAATCCGCCGAAGATGCAGTTTGATTTATATAGTTCTTGTTGGGGACCTGTGTCTATGTATACATACCTTCAGCTTGCCTAAACCTATACTGATGGTGCATAGAGTGTTTGGAATGATAGCTGGGGTGGATAATCTGTTCCTGGCACATATCTGCTCCCCTATCATTGGAATAGACATCAGCCATATGTTAAAATTGGCCAAAGATCAGGTATCCTATAAGAGTATGTGGATAGTTTTTTTTAAAAAAACTGGGTAAACTCAATCTTTCAACAGGCACAATGCCCACATGAGTTTATTTTTTTAAATGAAATTTGGGTGCTTAAATAACTATGCCCTGATTTCAGCTTGTACAAATATTTAATGAAGACGGAACAATTAGTGGGATAAAAACAGCTTTATATATTGGTTTATTTATTCCATTTCTGTAGCCACCCATTTCAATCAATGACCCTGGGTGGCTTAGAATTCCACATCCTCTTTCTTCCTCACTCCTGCTTCTACAATATTTATTTTTATATGGCAGGCCGTAGCCTCCGCCACTGAGTCACCATGACAATTGGTGCCCAGTAACCAGTCTTGGTCCTGTTTTGATCACAACTATTTCAAGTTGCAATAGGAAGGATCGCCTTTCTCGAAGAGTCTACCCATCCAACCAGATCTCTAGCAGGATGAGCATGTTGTTGATCATGTCAGCCAAACAGTATAGAGTACTGATGGGAACTGGAAGATAGGCTTTTTCTACAATGTCCCCTGTTCAATGGAGTATCCTTACTTCAGAAATTAGAATGGCCCCAATCCTGTTAGCTTTTTCTAAGCCTAAAAACCTGACTATGTTCCCATACCCGGGGTGCTGAATGTGATAAGGGCCCAGTTTCTTGGTCATATTGTCAACTTGCCAGGTATCTTGGCTGCTATGTATATTTAATTTGGATGTTTCTATTGTTTTCTATTATTTTAAAATGTTTTTAATATTTTGATGGTAATATATTTTTTGAAGGAAGTGCGATGGCTCAGGGGTTAAAGAGGCTGAGCTTGTCAGCTGGAAAACTGATAGCCTGGGATCGAGACCTGAGTGCTGTGCGACAGGCTGAGCTCCCATCCTCCTGTCCACCTAGCAGTTCAAAAGCATGAAAATGTGAGTAGATAAATAGATATTTGGGTACATAGGTATTTTACTTTCCCACTTTGGTGGGAAGGTAACAGCATTCCGTGCCCTTCAGTGTATAGTCATGCTGGCTGCAATGACCACGGAAATGTCTTTGGGCAATGCTGTCTCCCTTAGCTAAGAAATGAAGATGAACACCATTCCCTAGAGTCAGACACAGCTGGACGGGGGGACAGGGACTATGGCCTTTACCTTTATATTTTTTGAATTTTAAACCACCCAGAGTCATGGACTGAGATGGGTGGCTATAGAAATTAAATAAATAAATAAAGTTACTGCAGTTGCCTTTTTGGTTTCTTAAGTAAGCACATTTACTCATTTTGAGATTGCACCTGGACTGTGACAGAATAAGGAAACAAAATTACTAGGATTGTGCAATACTGGTTTTGAAAGGAGAGGGAGTAGACAGGGATGCTCAGGCTGTGTCTGTCAGCCACTTGTTAAAGCAATGGCCTCATTTACAGAATGGCATGATTTGCTGCAGTGCAATCCCAGGAAAAGCCACTTTTAATTTTATGGAGTTGCTGACAGATGCTGTCATCATGCCCATGTGTTTTGAAGTATCTTGCTTGTATCTTTTTTTAAACATAAATTGCATTAACTTTTTTTTAAAAAAAGAACATAAAAATTAAATGAATGTAGAATAAGCAGAACAAGGAGAGAGAGGAAAAATAAAAAGTATGGAAAGGATAAAGAAGAAAAAGAAACAAGTAGCTTCCGATTTCCTTTGCAGCAAACACAAAGTATGATTACAAAGTTATCTTTTTATGATTATAAAATACCTACTTTTTTCTATTATCCAATTTTAAATCATCAGAAAATTTCTATTTCATGCAAGAAGTCTGCCAGGAGTTTGCAGTCAGCCATAAATACAGATATTGTCTTTTCTTCAATCAAAGAAGTTAATTTAGCCATCTTTGCAAGTTCCAACATCTTCATCAACAATTTCTCCATTTTGTGAAGTGTCTACACTTTTAATTGTTAGGCATACAGGCATAATTTTGCTGACATCTTTTCCTCCTTGAATACAAAATCCTGCACATTTGTAGAAAATACTACTTTAACTAAATCTGATTTGAACCTCACTAACTCATGGGCTGGAGATAAAATGGACATGAGTGATGAAAGTTGCCATGCCATGTGTGCATTTTGGTCCATGGAGAGAATGGAGAATGGCATGTAGACATTCCAAAGCCTTTGGGATCCTTAATGATGCTAAAGTATTACACCATTGTGTCAGAATGCTAGATGAAAGCTGGTCTCCCATACTCAAGTATTACTGAGAATTTATACTGATGTGATATTGTCAGGCTTCACAAATGTCACCAAAATAAGGACAATCAGTAAAATTCGTTTAGTTTTAGTTTGGCACTGTAAGCAAATTCAATTGGAGAATAGTTCATAGAACATCTAAAGCCATAATCAAAGAAACCATATGTAAGTTAATGATTGTGAAAATTCAGCCTGTTGGGTTTCCAAAAGTTATGGTTAATCAAACCATAGTTTATTGCACCTAAACCAGTGTATTATGCAAAGTTGGGATGGACAGCCTGACATTTCAGATCTGATTTGCTTGTGAACTTTGATCTTTGTTTTGCAGAATCCTTAGTGCAGTTCTTGAAAATTGGCACTGTGTTCTATTGGCATGTTGAGCTAACAAATACAAAAGTCCTGTGTAATCTAATATACCTATAATATGGTTTAAAAAATAAAGAGAGCCTTCTGGATTACCAGGTTTGTTTTGCCCACTACTTCCTTGTTTTTTAAACTATTGACTTCAAGATGGTGTTGATTCTTACTAGCTTCATATACCTTTTCCAGGATGATCTATTCCCAGTTTGGATCTTGAGATCTTCCAATGACATATCCATTTCCATTCTAATCAAATGCATCCACCTTGCTACTGGTCATCCTTTTCTCTTTTCTTCTTTTAAAAACTGTGATATAGCTAAATTAGAGAACACATTGGAGTATGTCCTTTTCTCTTGTGCTTTGGGCGTCCTCTTTTTCCAGCACTAAATTAAGATTTAGCTACTAGTTTAATCAGCCTCTATATCTAGGATGGAAGAAGATGCGATCTGGTCTTTAACGTGACAGGGCTAGTTTTGGGCTAGCCCTGGTGTGTCATAGCCCCATGAATTTGTACAGTCCCTGCAGAGTTTTGAGAGTCTCTTGGAGTCTTCCCAGCCCTATTATAAAAGCATGGTATGATTGTGAGCTTGAAATGTACGCATATGAGAAAGTGCATCAGTTCTTTTTGATTGTGAAGCATTGGTTTTAGAAAGCAACTGTATACCAGGAAAGAATAAAACCCACAAGATTAAGATTACATAATTGGCCTATACCAGGAGAGAAAGATAGCATCAAATCACAATAATTATTTAATTAAGAGTACTGACTTTACCAAGAAAACAGATAGAAACTCCAGAGATTCCTTAGATATTAGCTCTTCACATGGCATGCTTAGCTTCCAAACCAGATTAGTAAGGCCTGTGCACCACCATTTATTTTCTGTGGCAGGTTCCTGTTTAACCAAAGTATAGGTTTGCAAATACTAAACTGTAAGTTCACACAGGATGCTAAGATAAACTCAAAGAGATTATATAATAACTCTCTTTGGCCATCTTCCATGAGACATTGAAACCAGAACTCTGTAAAGCTTGAATTAATGGAATGAATCATTGACTGAGTTAATCCATATTAAATTTAATCCATATTAAATTATTGGGTAAAACAAACTTTGGTTTGATATCGATGAACATGGATACAGTCAGGTCCAGAAATATTGGGACATTGACACAATTCTAACATCTTTGGCTCTATACACCACCACAATGGAGTTGGAATGAAACAAACACAATGTACGTTAACTGCAGACTGTCAGCTTTAATTTGAGGGTATGTACATCCAACTCAGGTGAACGGTGTAGGACTTACAGCAGTTTGCATATGTGCCTCCCACTTGTTAAGGGACCAAAAGTAATGGGACAGAATAATAATCATAAATCAAACTTTCCCTTCTTAATACTTGGTTGCAAATCCTTTGCAGTCAATCACAGCCTGAAGTCTGGAACACATAGACATCACCAGACACTGGGTTTCATCCCTAGGTGATGCTCTGCCAGGCCTCTACTGCAACTGTCTTCAGTTCCTGCTTGTTCTTGGGGCATTTTCCCTTCAGTTTTGTCTTCAGCAAGTGAAATGCATGCTCAATGGGATTCAGGTCAGGTGATTGACTTGGCCATTGCATAACATTCCACTTCTGTCCCTTCAAAACCTCTTTGGTTGCTTTTGCAGTATGCTTTGGGTCATTGTCCATCTGCACTGTGAAGCGCCGTTCAATGAGTTCTGCAGCATTTGGCTGAATGTGAGCAGATAATATTGCCCAAAACACTTCAGAATTCATCCTGCTGCTTTTGTCAGCAGTCACATCATCAGTAAATACAAGAGAACCAGTTCCATTGGCAGCCATACATGCCCACACCATGACACTACCACCACCATGCTTCACTGATGAGATGGTATGCTTAGGATCATGAGCAATTCCTTTCCTTCTCCATACTCTTCTCTTCCCAACACTCTGGTACAAGTTGATCTTGGTCTCATCTGTCCATAGGATCTTGTTCCAGAACTGTGAAGGCTTTGTTAGATGTTGTTTGGCAAACTGTAATCTGGCCTTCCTGTTTTTGAAGCTCACCAATGGTTTACATCTTGTGGTGAACCCTCTGTATTCACTCTGGTGAAGTCTTCTCTTGATTGTTGACTTCAACACACATGCACCTACCTCCTGGAGAGTGTTCTTGATCTGGCCAACTGTTGTGAAGGGTGCTTTCTTCACCAGGGAAAGAATTCTTTGGTCATCCACCACACTTGTTTTCCATGGTCTCCCAGGTCTTTTGGTGTTGCTGAGCTCACCGGTGCATTCCTTCTTTTTGAGAATGTTTCAAACAGTTGTTTTGGCCACGCCTAATGTTCTTGCTATCTCTCTGATGGGTTTGTTTTGTTTCTTCAGCCTAATGATGGCTTGCTTCACGGATAGTGACAGCTCTTTGGATCTCATCTTGAGAGTTGACAGCAACAGATTCCAAATGCAAATAGCACACTTGAAATGAACTCTGGGCCTTTTATCTGCATATTATAATTGGGGTAATGAGGGAATATCACACACCTGGCCATGGAACAGCTGAGAAGCCAATTGTCCCATTACTTTTGGTCCCTTAACAAGTGGGAGGCACATATACAAACTGCTGTAAGTCCTACACCGTTCACCTGAGTTGGATGTACATACCCTCAAATTAAAGCTGACAGTCTGCAGTTAACGCACATTGTGTTTGTTTCATTCCAACTCCGTTGTGGTGGTGTATAGAGCCAAAGATGTTAGAATTGTGTCGATGTCCCAATATTTCTGGACCTGACTGTATTTTGGTTTATAAATATTAGTTTATTTATTTAATTTATTTATTTAGTTCAATTTAGGCACCACTTGATGCCAATTGACTTTGGTTTATGACTAAACATTGTGTGAATAGCTTATTCCATAAATCTTATTTCAATAATTAAAATCCATTTCAAAAATGGTAGGGGAAATTAAACACAGTTTATAAAATTGCCTTTCTTAGGTTGGTGGCTTCTGCTCCCTTCATTCTTAGCCCATCATTGTCCATGACTAATGGAGGATAAAACTGAACTTTCCCATAGTACAGCAAAGTTGGGGAAGATTGCTTTAAAAAAGTAATAGATACAGTAGTCAATTTATTAATTGCTACAGCAAGCCTTTGTTAACATTTTTGGGGAATTTGAAACTGAAATCTATCTGCTATCAAACTCTTCTGTCTTTTCATCTGTTTTATAACCTTTAATGAGCCAGTGAAACAGTGAATCATAGCTGAAACATTTTTGAAGCAAACTATCTTAAATCCTCTAACTTAAATGATGTGTACAAAATCCAGGTCCCATTCCCATATAATTGAAATGTTAAGGATCTTCACACCAGTTGTATTCACAAATTTGTGGCTACTGCAGTATCACAAATACTGTGAGTTCATGAGATCATGATTTCTGATGTTCCTGCCAATGTCTAATAAAGTCAATGGGGAATCCTGCAGGAAGTCAAAAGTTGCTCTTCTCCCCACTGCTTTTTTGCCTGCCCAATGCCCTTGGTCATTCAGTTTTTCTGTTTAGGTAAGGAAGTATCTGCAAGGATGACTCAATGGGTCATGGGTCATCTAGCTGAAACAAAGAAAACATTTTTCTCACATAGCACTTACTGTACTATAATTAAACTGTGAAATTCGCTAGCGATAATTGTGGTAATGAAAGCGGATTTGAGTGGTTTTAAAATGACACTAGACAGATACTTACAAGGCCAGGATTAGTGGTTACTAAGTGTTTACATAGACTGGATGAACTAATGGTTGTATCCAGCAGGGCTTTTAAAGTTTTGTGGGCCACTCCGCCAGGGCTCAGTGATTATTGATATTGTAGATTGCAAATTGTTGAGAGTGTAGTGTCAGTTTGCATAAGATCCTGAGTAAAATTTATTAAATTTTATGGATTCAGTAGCAGAGCTGAACTGAGCTTCTGTTCTTATGTCTAGTGATACAACACTAGACACTAGAATAGCAATGATGCTGGAAAAGTTATTTCAAAAAGTTCACAAAGAAAATGTATATAGACAGTATGTATTGCAAGAATGATGTAGGTTCAAGAACATAAACCAACTCAAATGTTAATGTCTTTCTGTAAAATGTATGCTGACAGTTTTTGGCAGTGCTGATATGACTCACAGACTTTTCAATATGCACTGTCAGCATGGTGCTAATGTTCCAAATTATCCGCACAATTCCTGGGAAACCTGCTCTTCCAGTGCTTTGCATTTTGGTTATTCTCCTGGGAGGTCAGCTAGGATAGGGAGGGAACAGAATGGAAATTGAATTTATATTTACATTGCATTGGAGGCACAGTGATTTCAACATAGTTTTTAGATAATGATGCATAGTAACTCTGCACTGTTGATTTATGTGAAAGAAAGAGAAAAACTAATTCTGGTAAAGGATGGGTGGAAATGTTCATTTATATAATAATTAGATAGTGGCCATGAATGACCTGAACCAAATGTTTTAGTGATTGAACTGTTAGTGAACTCTTGAGATTCAAGCAAACATTTAAGCAAGATCTAGAAATATAACTCGGAAGTAAGAAAGCAGAAAGAGGCAGATAGTAGCAATAGCATTTAGACTTATATACCTCTTCATAGTGCTTTCCAGCCCTCTCTAAGCGGTTTACAGTGGTTGTACAGACCCACAATCTGGGGTAAAATGACAATCGGGGGTAAAATCTGGGGTAAAATTTATCCCACAATCTGGGATAAAATGACAATCCTCATTTTACTGACCTTGGAAGGATGGAAGGCTGAGTCAACCTTGAGCTGGTCAGGATCGAACTCCTGGCAGTGAATTGAATTAGCCTGCAATACTGCATTCTAACCACTGTGCCACCACAGCTCCTAGTATGTGTTTAAAGGTTACTACTTTTTATGGGAAACCCCCCATTGTTTTCTGGTATGGATTATGATGTTAACTGTAAAGATTGACATATCTGTAATTGGATAATATATAAATATGCTTTTTGGGAGGCCTATTTACCTTCTCCTAAAATAGAAGGTCTTATTTTCTTGAAGGAAGAAAATAAAAATTTTATTTTACCGAGTCTTGTTAAATTTTCCAGGCTACAGAGCCAAA